AAAAAAAAAGACATGATGAATTGCTCCATTTCACACACAAAAATTTGTAATCAACTGGAAAGGTATCATATCAAATTACAAATATCTTATCTAACAAGCTAATTGTGAGAACTATAAACAATTATTGCACCCTCCCTTTACCAACCCCTTTAGTCTATTTAAAATTAGCTTAATTGCAATTAGGTTAATTAAATTATATAGTTATAATGCTCCCTACGTGCCAAATGTAATTGATGTTGCAAAAGGTCTCAGCACAATTAGACAATCTTGTAAAGTACTTATCTGGCCTTATATATATTCAGGAAAGATATTTGTTGCATTTTTCTATTGCCTACAATAATTTCATGGCATATAAATAAAAACTTTAGAAACAATAAATATATCACTGTCTTATAATTTAAACATTTAAATTTAAATATTTCTCATTAAAAAAAAAAATTAAAGTATTTAAAGTGCTTCAATTTTTATTTTTATTTTTTTATAAAAATATTTACAATTCCTAATGTTAGACAGACTTATATGATTTTTATTATTGCCTCCACTTTCTTTGATTAAATTCATTGTAACCCCCAAATACACTACATAATAAATATCCATAATTGTGTTGCTTTTCTAATGTGAAAGACAATAATGGATGTTTATTTGCATTGAGAGCCCTTCATTCATAAGCATCTCACACTTTTTATTTATTAATTAATTGCTAAGTTTGCAAAACAATACATGACAAAAGATTGACTTCCAAATAAATAAAAGGAAACATAATTGTTAGAGAATTATTGTTTGGAATAAAATACTTCCTCCATGTTAAATTATTACATTTTAGGGGGTAAATATATTGCTAAATAATCATTTATCGATGGGATATTAGAATTATAGACTAGAACAACATTTATAAAGAAATGGAGGGAGTATAATTTTTTATCTGAGGTGGTTTATTCATGAGACGAGTCGATTCATCATTTTTTTTTAAAAAAAAAAAAACCAAAATTGCACACTTACGGTGTGAACTTTCGATAACATTTTAATACGAAAGTGTGTACATAATTTTAAAAAATTGTTGCAATCTGATCGTTATGCTTTACTAACGGTAGCATTATTATTAAGGAAATATGTACTTATAATGTAAATGTTACACATTTTTATGTTGTTATTTAAATAAGACATTTTTATATAAAAGTACATTTATATACCTAATAAAAGAAAATATACCTCTTAATTAATGATTAAACAGCTTAATAAGAACGAGCTCAAAAAATAAAAAAATTTGTGCAACATATAATCAAAACCTACCTCACGTGAGCAAGGTCTCGGGTTTGAGTCTTTGTGGATTTAGAAAATCCTTGTTGGGAGACTCACCCACTACTGCCAGATGTGCGACTCGGGTCGACCAACGGATTAGTCGGGGCATAGCTCTGGAACCGTGGCTGGCTACCAAAAAAAAAAAACCTACCTCACACGTTACGGAGAACATGGGAAGTCATTTTGAATTAAATCATATGCCAAATATCGACATGCCATGTGGTACTTATTTTCAAATATGGCCTCCTTGAGATAAACTATTCATAACTTCAGGTTTCAATTTTTATTTTTCACGACTTGTTCATGTATATATAGTGTGCCATTAAATTTTCGAGGTGGCAAGCCTAACTAATACGTAGTAGCTCGTGCCCTGCACGAGATAATAATTATAAATTTTATGCAGTTAAAGCCATAAAAAAATATTTATTAGTATAAAAATAGTTTTGAATATATTTAATAATTTTTTCTTTTATTTTATGTACATAATAATTTAACATATGATTTATATGTTTATAAAATAGATATCATTTGAGGGTTTCTTTAGAATTAATAATTTTAACATATTCGAATATTATTAATAAATAATACACACAAAATGCTTCTCTTTCTATGTTCCCTTACTTATACATTAATACAATATTTAAATTCCAAAATAAGTTATGTTAAGATTAAAAGAATATATATGGCAAATAATTATAAATGACAATTAACTGAAAAAGACTGCAATGTGTATTGTTTGAAGTTAAAAAATGGAAAAATTGTACTATTCGTCCACTAACTATACCCTCGTTACACTTTCGTCCTTTATATGTTTCCGGTTTACAATTAGTACACTAACTTTTTTTTTGGTAATTTTAGTCCAAAATTAAATTCCGGTACTCATTTCAACCGGAATAGCTGATGTGGCGCCCAGTCAGATCGGAATTTCTATTCTCGGCGTGATGTGGCACGAGGTGGCACCTAGTCAGATCGGAAAATTTGCATTATTCGTCCACTAACATTACATTCGTTGCACTTTCGTCTTTTAATTGTTTCCAGTTTACAAAATCAGAAAAGAATATTAAAAAATCAAACGAAAAGTAAAAAGCTTTAAAAAGAGAAAGAAAAAATCAAAAGAAAAAGGAAAAAATATAATTTTTTAATTTAATAAAAAACGAAATATTGAATGATTAAATAAAAACAAAATATTTAATAAAAACGAAATGAATTTATGATGAGTGATAAATATTTTTTATTTAATGATTAAGTATTTAATACAAAAACGAAATATTTAACAAAAATGAAAAATATTTTTTATTAAATATTTAATTCTTCATTAAATATTTAACCATTAATAAAAAAATATTTATTATATATTTATTACTCATGAAAATATTTATTTTGTTTTATATTTCTTTTTTATTAAATATTTTTTATTTTTTTTATTTAAATAAAAAAATCATTAAACAAAAAATGATAAATATTTTTTTTTTTTATTAAATATTTAACTATTAAATAAAAAATATTTATTTCTCATTAAACATTTATTTTGTTTTTCATTTTCTATTTTATTAATTATTTCGTTTTAATTAAATAAAAAATGAATTTTTATTTTAAAAAGATATTTTTTTTTATTTTGTTTAAAATCATTAAACAAAATGATTTTTTTTAATTAATATTCTTTTTTTTGTTAATTTTTTATCCACATGTCTTTTCTTTTTTTTTTAAAGATTTTTCTTTTTCTTTTGTTTTTCTTAATATATTTTTTTTTCTTCTAATTTTGTAAATCAGAAATAATTAAAGGACGAAATTGCAAAGAATGTAAAATTAGTGGACGAATAGTGCAATTTTTCCGATCTGACTAGGCGCCACCTCGTGCCACATCACGCCGAGAATGGAATTCCGATCTGATTGGGCGCCACATCAGTTATTCCGACGAAAATGAGCATCGGAATGTCATTTTGGACTAAAATTACCAAAAAAAAAAGTTAGTGTACCAATTGTAAACCGAAAACAATTAAAGGACGAAAGTGCAACGAATGTATAGTTAGTAGACGAATAGTGCAATTTTTCCTTAAAAATTTACTAAATTTCTAGCTACATCAATATTGCTTTATTTTATTTATTTGTAATTTATGATTATGCATATTATGGTTATTTTAGATTTCTTTATAATCTAATAATTAATATGACATATCCACATTGACTGATTTATCATTATAATTAAAGATAATATACATTATAAATATTTTTACTATCTTTCTATAAGCTAACAATTTAAATCATTATTCGATTGATCTATTGTTGGTTATCATTATAATTTATAGCAACATACATTATACTATATTTTTTTTTCTAAGTTACGAATTTGCATGGGTAGTTCGACAGATAATTTGTTGGTTTGTTATCATATAATTTGTAACAACATATATTATAAATATTTTGATTTTTTCTTTCTGAACTATTAATTTGCATGTCAGGTCGACATAATTGATTTTAATTTTCATTTTGTAATTATATTTGCAATTTTCTCATTCATATTCAATTAATATTTTCTACAAATAAAACATATTTAATAGTCGTTTTTTTTAAGACATGTTATAGAAAATCACGATAGATGGTTGGTTACCAAAATAATAAGAAATTGAAGTGATTCATAATTAATATAAAAATCATATTTTATTATGATAATTATCACAAAATAATGTTAAAAAATGGTAGTTCTTTACTTATATAGAAAATCATGCTATTAACCAAATTGCACGATTTGCAACATGTAGGTATAATTTAATTTTTTTATCAAATATATTAAAGTAATTTTGACTACAAGTCCTTTAATAGTAAGTCGACTAATTTAATTACAAAGTCAAAGCTAATATTTTAAATTATTCTAACAACCTCTTTCAATATATCTAGTACAATAATGCTCACCTGCCCACGGTGAACATATTTTAATATGTCCACCGCTTATGTGGCATGCACGCATTGGTGATGCTAATATGTTTAAAAAAATATATCACCAATGCGTGCATGCCACATAAGCGGTGAGCATATTAAAATATGCTCACCGTAGGTAGGGGAACATTACTCATCTAGAGTATTACTAGGGTGGATCCATCATATTTTTACCCCCAAAAAAGCATACTAATAAAATATTATATTATATTTATGTTTGTTATTTTGAGATAGTATTTCATTCTGAAATACCAAAAAAAAAAAAAA